CACTGCAATAAGCGAATGTCTCCTCATATCAAATTTAGATTTGCTGGAAATCACGCAGATGTGCCCGAGTTTTCATAAATTCTACCAAGTGATCGCTCAAGTCAAAAAATGGCAAAATATAGCAAACATTTCTGTGTGAATATAGAAGAACTTTCTGAATAATAATAACCCATCATCTGATGGGTTCCTTGACCTGTAAACCAAGCAGTATTCAATTCGTGACAAAAATAATTTAGGTATCAGAGCAAGGAACCAAATTTTACAAAGCTACAGGGCAAATACGGCAAGGATTTCTGGGTAAATACATAGTAAGTGTATAATAACACACAATTGTCAGGTTCCTTGACCTTAAAACTAAGAAGTGTTCAATGTTATGACAACATAATTTAGGTATCGGAGCAAGGAACCCGATTTTACAAGGCTACGGGGCTACCCATCACTTCTGTTGCAAAGTTTCTTCAGGGAAGAGACAAGAAAACCGTCTCATTTGGTCAAAATGGTCATCTAGAAGAGTTTTGTTTAACACCATCTCAAATATCATTTGGGGCCTGTCATTCAATGATCTCATCCAATCATCTCTTTCTTCCACTTCTGAGTTTCAAATTTAATCCACTCTCCACTTGTTTTTGCTTTTTGATTAAGGTCTGTAACCACTGTCTGGATATTATCCACTACCAGCTTTATGGAAGATAACAGGTACTTCTACTGTACATGCATGGTTATATCCATGATTTGCTTCCCACCAAAAGTATAGGTCTTTATTTTTTTATGTCAACGCCTGTCCACTCCTTACTATTTTGGGGGAAATAATAAACGTTGGATTCCATGTTTTAGTTTTCCACCGGTCTCAATATCCATGTGAGGAAAGAGATGTACTGCAAGTAGTAGGCCCTACGCACCAGTGTATGCCGAAGAAACGGCAGGGTGGGCTTTAGCAAAACCTGCCTGCACTGAAGAGAAGAGACACAGGCTTGGGTATTGGCTCACCATTTTTTTTTCAAGTTTACGTAACCAAACATTTCAGAATATCTTTAGTCTGAAAAACACAGTTGAAGTTCTCACGAAAAAGTTCAAAAAAATGAGAAGAAAGGTTGGTTTGTGTATGCCAAGGACGCCTTCCAGATGACTCCTGGATTATTGTATTTCTCAAAAAGCGCAGCACAACAGTAAAGCCCAGCAAGTTTGTAAGGGAAAACATATGCACGGTCAGAAAAGGGCTTTATAGTTTCCTGATGATGATCATTAGTCCTAAAAGGTGTATCCTACGTTATGTGTAACAGTACCCAGCTTAAGGAAATGGTTATTTTCACCAAGCTGACTTTTCACTTATCAAGGAACTGGTGTTGAGAATGGTCCCAAAGATCAGAACTGATAGACAGCGCAAAAGGATTATGGGATGGCATGGCAACAGGCAATCTGTGTGGGAAAAAAGGAGAAAAACCCAGGGGACAGTTTGTGCCAATCTCTAGTAGCTCCTGTATTCCTGGTTTAAAATTAACGAAGCTATGGTTACTTAATGACTCAGCTCCCTGTGCTCTGTGATATAAGAGGGTGGACGGGCTAAAGTCCTTTTGGCATGATAAAAACGGATGCCAGTTGGTAAACAACTAAACATGCACGCACTTGCACAATAACCTTTTTTTCTAAAAAAAAAAATCCATCCAACAATAGATGCATTTTCTATTTGCAGGCTGGTATCTCGGGGGGTGTGTCCCTTTCATAGGGTGGTCGGACGGTTTTAAATTTAGCAGAATATCTGCTGCTCACAGTTAGTTGCTGGAAATCTGCGATTCTGTTAAGCACACACTTTGCCTACAATCTACAGGGTGTCACTTCGGTTAGAAAGAAGTAAATGAGATTTGAACTTTTTAATGGTTAAGGTGGCTAATTACTGGTAGGGCCAACCATCGTATAGCTCTGTTGGAGCATCGTGCAAATTACCTCTTTGTGACCATGTGTGGTTCTGGAAAACAATTACTTTCTACATTTTTCGCTGTGCCCCTTGAAATCCCTGCTGCAACTGGCCAAAATGTGACCAGAAGTTATCGCCAATAAAGCGCAACTCTTTGCAATGCACTGTCACAGTAACTTTCCATGTTGTTTTCAATCAGTTCACGTTGATCATACTTTGTAAGTGCAACTTATATTGGGTTGACAGTAGGTATTTCGGCTACAGTACATCCATCAATTCACTACATACATATGGATTCATGCATGCTTACTGTTACTGCACTTTTTCTGCTATTGTGAAATGACCGCACAACCTCCATGAAAAACATCAAAGAACAGGGCACATGAAAGATAAAATTGGATTCGAACTTGGACAGGATAAAGCTCATGCACATGTACTGTATGTACGTGTAATACATATCGGGATGTTAGGTACCGGTACGATCGGTCAGTCTGCCCAATTATTTGATCTCTGTGCGATTGTCAAGCTTGCTGCATGATTTTCCGATAATTCTGCCTCCAGCCAATTGTCTTTCTTTCTTTCTAATTCACGGCTGTGGGAATTGTTTCAAAAAAGGAAGTAAAGTCAAAGTTTTTAGACAAGATCAACTGAAAACACGAGACTGCACAATCATGTGGATCAACCAATCACGCCCAACATGGATCTGACCATTTCGATCAGTGACAAAACATCAACATCATCTGCAACGTCACTGGCACATTCGGATGTCCTAGGAAAAGGTGAAATGTCCGCACACTTGTTTTACAGTGCATTCAATGCTGCCGAACAGCAAGTCAATCCACCATAGCCAGACACTGATCACGGCTCGCCCACACAGTGAAAACGAATCTGCAGTGTACATTGTCACACATGTGACATGGGGGGGAAAAACAAAATGGCAGCCACCATGGCACAGTAATAAAACGCGCAATAAAATGCAGGGAAACCCTCAGCCTACAGAGAGGAACCCTTACAGTTAAGTGTCCAAAATACATGATCTGACCTCTGCACACAACCAAAATGTTTATAACCCTTGTTCAAATTTGAAAAGGAGGGTACCAGAGCTGGGAACAAAAAAAAGAGAGCTCACAAGCAGCCAGGTTGCTCAATGTTTGTCTTGCCCTATTAGTGCTAGTACTTTTTGTTTGTTGTGTGACGGGGCACAAGGCATGTGAGATTCCCCACAGCTGCTGAAGAAAGCTGTACGATTAGCTACACTACACGTTTGTATGTACATGTAGCGGCTAGTCGGCTACCATAAAACTTATTTTCTTTGCTGATATACATGTACCGGTACACTGAACTTGACTGCAATTCCTTATGATGTAAAATAGTCTTTAAACCTTGTAACACAGGTGTTGAATACGGAGTGTGCCCATAATGGCTGAAAACAAAAGGAATATGTACCGGTACATGAAGAAAATTCAAGGTTTTAAAAACCAAACTGTGTAATTACAGTGAAGGGATGCTATAAAAGTGTTGTTCAGGTTACATGCTGAATTTCTCCACTTGAAAGTTTCCCAAATGTTGCTCCAACTAGGACATGTGAACAAACAGCATTGTACACCGAAAAACACATGGTCACTTGGTTATAATTAGGCTGAAACAGTTTTTTCATTTAACCTCGGTACTTTAAACATGCATGTACATAATGTACATTTATGACAGAAATAAAAAATCATGTTGCCATTTTGTAGATGGCTGTACGCAAAACAAAAAATGGCATTCATAGAGCATAAGGGTAATTGAGCAGCATTGCGAGTTCATCAGAAATTTCAACCAACAAATTTCGGTTTTTAATGACTTCCTGAATTCTAAACCACTTGATGAGATGTGAATTACAAGCACACAAAAGCCTTATAAAGCATTTCTGAAAACCTGGTGTCTTTCCATGCACATTAATGGGTCCTTTTTCCCATCTCCAGAAGACTTAATATTTTGTCAATGTGGAAATATACGTACCAGTACACTTCTAGCATCAAATTTTATAAACACTGAAATCACAAGGCACACAAGAGAAAAAGTATCCCACCATGGGAGAAAATCTTCAATTTCAGCTTCAGAATTGAACAGAATTTCTATTTGGCTTTCTCTGGGTAAAGTATCCCAAACAACAGCTAAAGGTCAAGGGAAAAGCAAAAATATTTACAGAAAATCTCTCTCCAGCTGCGAAAATTGAAAGCAAAGTACATGTTGCTTTATAGGATCTTTCAAAGTACTGGTGGTAATTTGAGGAAAATTTGGAAAACGTTTATTGAGGGTTGCACTTTATTTACACCTCATCTCTGGACAACCAGGAAAACTCAGGCTGAACGTGGTGCCACTGTAGTCGGTCCAGTAACAAATTAATATGCTGGCAACACAATCGAAACAGTTTAAAATTCTCTCATGGTGCACCAAAGACAGTTCAGTATGAATTGAATGATAAGAGATTTCCCATGGAAAACCTGTAGAAACCTTCATTTTAGGTGAAGCCATACCAACTTCTTTACTCATACTTTAAACAAGAAATTTGATACAACTTGTTTTGTAATATCCAGGATTGTAGATTATTTGCTGTGCTACAGTCAGTATCTGTCACTGATACAAAGAGAAAACTGCATGCTTTACAAAACACAACTCAACATAGGCTAATTCTTAAATTACAAACATTTATTTGTTCACAGCTGGTTTGTAAGTCATTTGAAACAATGAAAACATTTTGGAAAATGTTGGATGTATTTTTAAAAAAAGGAACAATATGGACTTGGTTCACAGTGTCTGACTGGCAACTGTACAGCTTCCTTGCTCAACGGGGCAACAGACATGACAGACTTTTTAGTTTTTAGGCCTATAGCCTAATTAGATGTAGTACTTAATTTGGACTTTTGACCCGACTTAGTCTAAGAACAGGAAGAAAAGGAAAGAAAAAAATTCACACTGTTTGAGATTATTAAAGGCAAACTTCTTTCAATCTAGAAACAGAGGCTAGCCTAAATTGAAGCACGGCTTTCAATGGAAGAAAATAAAGCTACGTAGGTAAGAATGACGTTAGACGAAAATAAATTACCGTTTTCATGATGTCTTCGTCCACTTCTCGTTCCGGCTCAGCCCAGTCCACCATGATCTGATGTCCCCACAGCTGGATCCTGCCCGGTATGAGCTTCCGCCGAGCCATGGCGGCCGCCCGGTGGTTCTCGTACTCAACGAAGGCGAAGCCCCGGTTCTTGGTCTTGTCCGTAGCCGAGGGGTAGACAATCACGTCCACCACGTAGTCGGTGACTTTGGCCATCTCAGCCAGGATCTCCTCCTTCTTCTTGTTCTTGGGGATCCCGCCCACGAAGAGTCGGCAGTTGTCCACGCTGGGGCAGACACCCAGGTAGCGGCCTTTGCGGATCTCGTAGTTGTTGAGCTGTTTGACGGCCTTTTTGCCGTCTTCCCGGTTGGTGTACATGACGAAGGCGTAGCCGCGGTTGTTGCCGCTGAAGTCCATCATGAGCCGCAGCTCGTAGATCTTGCCCACCTTCATGAAGACCGGCACCAGCTCGTCCTCGAACAGGTCCCGGGGAATCTTGCCCACGAAGACCTCGCAGCCTCGGCCGGGCGGCTGGCCCTCCCAGCCTGGGCAGGGCCCGCCGAATTTACGTTGGCCATTCTCCTGCACGATGTCGTAGCCGGTCTTCTCCATCAGGGACAGCAGGGCCGCCTCGTTGCGGGCCCCAGCGATGCCCTCGGGCGCTGCTGCTGCTGGCTTGCCTGTAGAATTTTCCATGATTAACTGATTTTTGGTCTTTTTACCCTTTGATTCGATGATGGGTTTGGGCTACCGGCTGGCCAAGGACTGATCTGAAAAATGGAATCACTTCATATCTTGTTGGTTGGATAATTACGCCAGCCGGTCTCGGCAGTGCATGTCACATGTACGAGTTCGTACCTTGCCAACAGCCAGCGCACGTTATCAGATAAATCTGATAATATAATGCGCGTGCTATATATACGTATCGATTACACAAAAGGACCCATACATCGATCTATCGGAACCAATTTTTATCTCGTCAATTTGACACTTTTGAAACCATTGAAAGCCAAAATTTGAACAAAATCTTGTAAAAGTTGTTAAAAGCTAGCAAACAGGTCCAAAACGACTTAAGAGCTCTTTAGGAAATGAACAATATCAATGGGGACAAATTGGCCATTGATTACGACCAATATGAAAAACGCCTCAGGCGTCATCATTTTTAAGGTGATGCTGCGCATGCGCTTTCTTTGATTTGGCGGTGGTGTCGGCTGCTCACAAAGTCAACATTCGGATGTGCACACGCAAACCCTAGTAAGGCGCGCCATCAGTATGTGTCAAAGGCCGACCCACAGAGATGGACAAACATTTCGGCGAGGTAATTTACTTCTTCAAAAATTCATTCCAGAAAGACCGCTGAATTGAACGGAGTCATGAAACCAGGAACCCACAAACAGTGTACTAATTTTGTTGGGGGTGTTTTGTCTTTGAACGGAAGTGTTGACATAACCATAGACAGTTTGGTCTTCGGTTTTGTCAAGGGACATCGGAAGTTTTGTAATGTACAATCCACCATTATATGATTTTACACGAGCTAAAAGACGTTCAGTTTTTGTACGTCTTCAAAAACCGTATATAAGGTCTGACCTTTTCAAGTGTCCTTTAAGTAGCACGAAAATGCAACAACCGTGGTACAATTTCATTTGTTAATTGGCTTTTTTTAATTTGTTGTTTCAGTTTTTTATCATTTTAGATAATTTGTCTGTACTTAATTTTAGGTATGAATTATAACGATTCCTGTTAATGGCAGATCTCCGCTGTTGGCTATCAGATTAAATAAAGAAAGAAAGAAAAACGGGTGTGAAAAATGTAAGATCTTCATGTTTTTGCGGCTATATATATATTCAAAACTAGTTCCGCATACATGTCTGAAGCACGAGGTTAATTAGGCCTACCTGTAGGTTTCGCATCGTCTGTTGAAAATAAAGGTTTTCCCGGCCAATTTCGGAAAATGCACAATTTAATTCGTAATCTAAATATTTAATTTGCCGTAGATTTTGCACACGACTTAAAACCTTGTTTCATTTTCGAAGTAACAAGTATTACACTTCGTTTGGCATCCTTCAAATAAATTAATGTGCAATATACGTTTCATTTTTGGAATTACAACTAAGTACATGGGATTTCGGTTTGACGTATTTGTTGCCAATTGTAACAAATGTGCATTCTTATTCGCCAAAAAATATCTGTTACTGAGACTCATTGGAATTGAGTATTCATTTTCAGCTGCTGTAAGTCAAATTTGCAAAAATATACGATCAATTTGATTAGACGACACAAGGTTAGGCAAATCATAACCCTGCTTCCATAGCAAATATAATGTTACCCATGAAGGATTATAAATTATTTTACACAAATTAAGGTCTTTATGATTTTTCTGTACTTCCCCTTTCAATCATTGCAAGAAGGTATGCGTGAGCTTCGTTGTATGAGGTGATTTTGGCAAAACGTAGCACAAGAAAGAAGGTTCCTTCAGCCTCGGTGTTTAAATAACAACAGTCGGTTTATTTCCAAACCAAAGACAACGTGAGTGGTTTATTTCAATGATGAGTATTCAAACATTATTTTAACCACTCAGCTCAACACTTCTAAGAATCTAACTCCTGTTAGAACACAAACGAATTCCAATTCTTGACCAGGCATTTAACGGGCTTAAAAAACACTTCGCGCGAATCGCGTGGGCATTTTGCGAAAGAGATTGAGTTCAACTTAAGATGACGGCAGGATTGCAGAGGTGCATTCGATTTCGTGCAAAAATGAATGTCAACATACTAAACCAGTGCATTATCGGCAAATTGAGCGCTGACTCCATACGACTGAGTGCACCCCCATTATAACAGAATTTTTATTTGTTGAACGGAAACAGGGATTTGAATGCTCGTTCCATTCCTCTCGAAAACGAATGCTGCACGCTAGTACTAATTCATTTATACATTTCCCGAAATTGGCCGGGAAAGCCTTTATATTCACCTGCCGTTTTTGCATTTGATGAATTCATTTGAAAATTTGACGCGCATATCAGAGTTTGGGCGTTATTACATCACCGATGATTTTGTTGGCCGGGCATAAACCTTCATCAACTTCAGTGGCAACTCTCTCCTTCTACCAAGTTTTTGATAGTGGAATAACATTGACAGTTATTACTTTGTTTGAACCCCCCCCCAAAAAAAACCCCCAAACTCGGTGCACACTTTTGTTACATTCTACAGCCGACAACCATTCTCCTTTATTTTCTGCTGGACCTCAATCGAGGTCGTTACCTTCGTACAAAGGTTAAACTAGAAACACTGGAACTTGTATTCCTGTTCGCATATTCAGATTAGGCTTAAATAAAACGACGAGTATAATGAGGCTATCGGCAAGATTAAACCGCTTACGAACCGGGGTCTTAATTTGCAAATGCGATAAAGTTAAGTGCGCTTCCGCGATAACAAAAAGTATTTTTCGTTTGTTCGACCAAAGAGCTTGTTGACGATCGACCTTACAATTGTCTTGCGTGTCTGCCCTTAAAAGTCGGCCAAGGGGCGGAGCCCTATAATTTTTTTTAATGAGGGTGGCTTTTATAAACACTCCAATTAACTCACCTACCAGTACGGAGTAAAGTGCATGCTTGCGATAAGAGAATGTTAGCCTGTTCAAAACTTTGTTACTTGTTTTTTTTAAAGCTTTGCTTGTTTCGGTTTGCACATAGACTGATTACATAATTAATCAAATTGATATGGATACTATTGTTACGCGACTGGAGTTTAATCCGTTGAGTCTCGTTCGGAGGTCGTTGGTTAAAATATAGTGTGAGTCATTGACGGGTCCAAAAGTAGTCCCAGTTAAAAGTTCCTTTGCCCTTCTTTCTTCCCGTGGAACTTGTTTGTAAGGAATGGGTGATTTCATGCTAAAAACATGAGAAAATCAATCTTCAGAAATCAACGAGTTTGGTGTTTGTGTCTAGACAATACGGGCAATTCACAGGAGTGAGCCTCGAGGAGTGTTGCAACGCGTTGACCAATCACAGTGCGCGAAATCTGTCAACCCAGCGCGCGTTTGGGTTGACAGATTTCGCGCACTGTGATTGGTCAACGCGTTGCAAAAACTTGGAGGCGAACTATTGTGCGTCGACCGCATTGGGAAGACGTTGAGAGTGCATCAGGGGTTCATTGCGCCTCGGAATTTCTTTCCACGTTCAGAATGGAGCGAAGACGGGATCTAAGGTTTTCCAACAGGCGAGGGAATGCAACGGTGCAGATGTTCAACTTTCAGAAACTATGATACATGAGTGAACAACTCCCTGGTGCCAAGACCATCACTATATCTGAAATCTGTCTAGAGGCCAAAATGCATGCCCCTTCATCGAATTCCTGAACTTCTGAAAATAGACGCTGTGTACATAAATAGCTCCAGACTCTTTGCCCCGAACAAAGAGATAAAAATATATTCGGGATTGGCGATGACGGAAGAAACCCCCGTGTCGAGGGAATTGCATTCATTTGGGCGCCCTTTATGCGAAGGATAACTTTAATTGTTTTATGTTTTATCGGATATCATGAATTTACCAATGATCCCCCGACCCTATTTGGGGGGTTCCTTCCATAAGACATCCTGCTACCAAGCTGACGTAACTCCTCCCACTTACCTGAAAGTTACGTCTACACCAGCATCCAGTGGCGTAGCCACGGGGGGGGTGTGCCCCCCACAAATCCCCCCCCACTGAAAAAACGTAGGAATGGATATTAAACAAGGCTAACAAAAACTTGGTCCCCCAAAAACACACCCCTGAAAGCTGGTTCCCTCCATAAGATGCTGGTACCCCTTTGTGCCCCCTCCAGTAAAATCCTAGCTGCACCACTGCCAGCATCAGACAATAGCAGATGCAGCATGTCTACTTTATAGCCACATTACTCCATAGATCACCCTTCGCGAATCCCCAACTAAAGGCTCATATCGCGGTTATGGACGTTTAACATCATCCCTTTTGTCCCCTGCAAATTCAACCTGGTTAGGATGCAATTGTCTTGTAGCGACCAACTTGTTGGTTGGGGGCCGGTGAACTCGAAAGAACGTGACCGTCTAGTGCCCGTCAGTCCATAGGTGCCCGAAGTACACAATTGGAATATCGGCACAGCTCTTTTTTTCTATTAAACTAAAAAAAAAAAAAACAGCGGGTTGATGAAAGTTCCACAGAACTGGAAATGGGGTTGTTGCACCCGTGTTTCCCGAGACATTTCGGCTACAAAGTTTTGTTTAATTTCATTCCACGAAATTTGGTCAAACAAAATGCTTACCGCAAGGTTGTTCTTCCCTGCCAGGAAAACCCCAGCTCAACGGACTACCACATTTAATTGATAATCCAGACCCTGCGAGGCTATAGGGGAAAGGTTACCGATGCAGCGACATATCCCACGTCTCCGTCGTGTTGCAGTGGTTATTCACACTTTTGCGGTTCTTAGCTTGAATTGAGCCAGCAACAAAAGAAACAAGTCGGCCGAGTTTAACATCAAAGAGAAGATGTTTTCGCAAGGCGGCCAAAATTGAGATAAAGACTGGCGCGGCGTGAGAGTACTAAGATCAAAGAAGACAGTGATGGGGGGGGGGCATGAAATCCATCAGTGGAGTCAGTGACGCGCCAGGCAAACAACTTGTCACACCACCTTCGATATATCGCGGCTGCTGATCACCTGTGAGTTTTACCGTGGAGGATTCCTCCGTGGTCTCACCTGGGTTTTTCTAGTCAAAAAGGTAAAAATCTTTAGGTAAGACAGAATTGGATTTTCTAGATCAAATGGGCCAGAGCAAGACATGCTGAACATGGTCCGGCGTAAACTGTGAGGGACGATAACACAAGAAAAATTGGTTGGGACAGGATTGGGCCGGGATGGATTGGGCTGGGATGAAGAATAGTGGAATGACTAAGAATACTGAACAAAGGTGTGGACGTATTCAAAGAACCGGATCAAGATGGCATTTTGACAGACATAAACGGCACGCGCACTAGACCGACAACAACCTGTCACAGATCCAGATGATGAGATGAAGATTAAGACTTCACTCATGCTTCGAATTTGCCTTGTGTCATGAATACCTACAGTCGTCGGGTACTGATTTTTTTTTTCGGGATGGGGGATAACACGAGACCCCCGTGAGAATATCTTTCGATCACCGTCTCCTTCTACGATGACTGAATCGCTTACAATAGACGACAGGCTGACCGACATGAACAACTACGCCAAAATGGAATAGCGTGCGTCGTGTCTACATCTGGCGGATGGCGGCGCATTTTTTTTCTTGGGGACAACGAGATGGGGATGGGACGGATTAACTTTCAAGCCGATTGCCGCGGCCCGTCTGCGGGTTGTCGGCTGGTCATATCAAGGTCCTGTTCATGGGTGAGTGGGTCTGGATTTTCTCCAAGACTATTCTCACCAAAGCAAGCTGATCACTAACGACAAACGTCCCTCGACAGTTTCAGATTTAGCCCTGCACCGAAAAAACAATGTTTTCCTTCGTGGAAAGATCACTTTGAAATACGACCGCAGTGGGGTTCGTGTAAATAAAGGCACTTTGGGCCTCGTGGTTTTCACGACAAACTCGCAGATATATTTCTGGACAAGAATTGAACTAGCACAAAACGAAAGTGACAAAACATCCCCGTCAATTATAACAAGTCACTTAGCGCAACCATGATTTGGTTTATTTCACAGCCATTACTGCAAGGCCTAGTGTTTACAGCTACTTACAAAAAAGTCATACATTTTAAACCAATAATTATAAGCGGAGAACTCTTAAGAACCTGTATAGAACTAACTGATTGAAATAGCAGAGGTGGGTTCGGGGAGGGGGTGTACATCGGTCACGCCCCCACCACCACCTGCACCACAATGAATTTCCAATGACACAAGCCTGTTACGTTATGACCAAGGGCTTCGCACGGCACGGCACACTCGCACTTCACCCTCCAACCTTTTGCCCCTCGCTCTTGCCTGAAAAGGCTTTCATTCATGGGTAGAATTTCACCACTTGAAGACCTCTCTGACAACAAAAACTGTTTATTCACAAGCACAGCGCACTCCGAATAAATGTTTACAGCAAGAACTGCTTTTTTCGAGTTCGCTAATTTGAAGTCCGGTAGCGCTGGCCCGCTGTCCTGACGGACAAGTTGAAATTCCCGTGTTTGCGTATGGACCTGTGTATAGAGCGCCCTCTAGTGTCCATTGCGGGTGAGCACAACCATTTTTCAAATCCTGACTCCTAAAAGGGTTTGGGGTACTGGTGCTGTCAATGACAGGTAGATGGGGGGACGTATTTCCCCAAAGAGCAAAAAATTTTTTTCTTTTTTAATGAAAGAAAAGTGATCTTTCTGGTCCATTCCATTTCCTTTCCTTCCAAATGCGAGCAAAAAGCCTCCAAATATAGCTCCAACTCTCACAATGGCTGTAAAAGGTTACATAAAAAATGTCCAGTTTTTACCTCCCCCCCAAAAAAATTATTTGTTCCCCCACCCCCCCAGAAAAATTTGGTTCTGGATCTGCCCTCAGATGCTGTCGATGCTTTGGTGCCCTCCAGTGACTCGGTCAGTCAAAGGCCAGACGGACGTTCTTCTCCTGGTCTCGCCTGACCATCTCGCTTTGCTTGGCCACATCGTCCACTTTCCGCTGCAGCATGACTGCGGACAAATTCAAACAGAAGAAATGGCTGATTCCGCAACGTCCCAAGTCAATCTTCAAATTATTCTTCAAATTTCATTCACATTTACAAGGAACAGCAAGATCCAGCGGGCCACGAGTCTGAAAGGATCTTTAGTTGGAGACTGCTTCGCAGATGTGTGGCCCAGTGGCCTGCAATTCCCAATCATAGGTTTGAAGGTTCGAATCCAGCGTTGCCGAATGCAGGGTTGCGTAAGGAGCATATAGAAGACAGCTGAAGTTGCAAGCATGAAGCATATGCGGCGTGGGGTCCGGGGCCTGCTTAATTAAGGACCCCCCGGGAAAATTTCGAAACGTAGATGCTCTCTAGTGCATTTTCCAGCCTCCTGGTTCAACCATTGGTCATATCTCCTTGCAATTTATGAACATTTTCAGTTTTATTTTTTTTCTTGATACTTGCCTGAAACTTTATGAACTTAAAATAAACTAGTATACCAAAATTGAAAATATCAAGGTTTGCAGTCAGAGTGAGTAGGCCCTTTTCCCGTCTGATTCGACTGCGTTTTCAAAATACTGGACCCTTGGCGAGCCGCACTGCCCTAACTTGTCTCTTTCCACCGTGGGGTATAAATGGGTACCAGTGAGGGCAGGGATGGTTGCTGCATTTGATTAGCCGTCTGCACCTGACATGCCAGATTTGAGCTGTATACCCCCCTCCCAGGGAGCTGAGATGGCTTTTAGGAATGTTCATGGTCTGCCAAACAGGGGTAGTCATAATGCAGCATATTGGTGGCTACATGCACTCCATCAACATCCATTATTATTGAAATATTCTAGAGGTGGTACGTCTCCATGGTGCCTCAGAGGCTGTTTTTGTTATGGTAATTTAGTCATAACAAATGCACGAAAGGTTTACTCCGGCGTATCCCCGTGAAACATAACTCTCACCCTCTGAGGACGCGTTAACGCATTAACCAAGTTGTCCTATCAGTCTGTAGCGGGAGAAGTGGAAGGAACTTTTGACCAGCTGTGACTGTCACAGCAAAAGGAGAGTTAAGGGGAAGTAAACCAATAGAGCGGTTGGGTATTTCGGTGTCTTACCTGTGTTCTGGTCGATCCACTGCAGGGAATCCATGTGAGCGTTTAAAATCTTGCCAATCTGCATTATCTGGCGGATTAAAAAAAGAAAATCAACACCTGCGATCGGATCCTGCAAAATAAGTCTGGCGGCCGTTTTTTTTGGTAATTCTTCTCTAGCGCGGATCGGAGAGAGGGAACTGAGCTCTGCTTTTGATGTATTACTCCGCATCTTGAGGGAAAATGGATACTGGCGTCTTGGAGATGAGAGGCAGAAAGAAATACGTCCGTTTAGTGAACTGACCGGGTCGTTGGTGTCTTGCGGGGCATTGGCCGTGTTGAGATGCTCGATGATCTCTCTCAGGTCCTGCACCATCCTCTTCAGCTGTCCGTCGATGTTCTCGGCCAAGGTATACCTGGTTCCCCAAAAGGGCGGGGGGAGAGTACAAAACGGTGAATTTTTACGGTAAAAGTTGTTCTTTCTTGGAATGTGGACGCTACTCTGCAAATGCACCTTGGTAGCTCTTTTTTTCCAGGGGAGGGGGCAGGGTGGGATTGACTTACGTTCTCTCCCTCTCGGAGTCGGCGTGCTGTGTGTAAACAGTGCCTTGCTGCTGGGTACGGACGGCCTCCTCCAAGGGGGTCAACATGTCCTCCAGCTCTCGCTGTTGGGCCATGATGAAGTCCAACTCGTGCTCCAATCTGCATCCCACCAAACAAGACAAAAGTAACGGCCTCATTTTGAAGGGTGAATACCTTGGGCGTGATACTTGATCCCGAAGGGGGGGGAAAAAAAAATAACCGAACAAACATTCCAAGCAGACCTCCTAGACGTAGGACTGCTGTATAGAATGTTGAAAATGGAGTAAAAAATTGGAAAATGAAAGGAGAAAAAAGTCTGAAATCTTGTTGAAACGGGAAAAAATATCATGCCTGATATCTATACACCTTCGACGGAAAGGCGAAGTAGAGGAGAGATTGGGGGGCGGGGTGAAATATCCATGAAAGGTGGGTCTGTCCTTTGGGTGTCCAATGGCATCCATCCTCACCGAGGTCCCTTGGTAACGTCAGTCTCAGGTTGCCCCCTACCTCATTACAACTGTCCAACTGACAACCCTGCCCGCTACAATCTCGGTCTTGTGACTAGAACGCAGTCAA